TGGGCGGTGTTGATGTTTCTGTGGTTGCGGTGTGAAGGCGGAGTGTGCGGTGATTGGGTTTTTTCTTGTGTTGTGGTCAGGAGATCTGCACCACCGTGGTCTGGTAGGGGACGGTGGTGGGCTGTGTTTTCAGTTGCAGTGGATCAGGCGCAGCGGCGCAGTGAAGGTGGTGGTGGGACGGTTTGGTGTGCAGTGGTGGTGGTGGTGAAAACGTCGACAGAGATGTTTGGAACGAGGATTTTGTTGCTGGATGTGGTGGTGTTGACGACGGCGGTTTTGTGTTGGTGGTGGTCACAAATTGTGACCAATAAATTTATTGGTGTGTGACCAATGATAAGAAATTGTGACTAAAAAAGACTATGTGACTCACAAAAAATTATCAATTTTAACCAATAAAAGTTGTTTGTGACCTATAATTCGATGTTTTGTGACCATAAAATAAGGTGTGTGACTTAAAAATTTTATGATTCGTGACCGATGAAACAATTGTGACTTTTAAATTTTTTATTTGTGACCGATGATTGAATTGTGACCAAATTGTATGGATCTGTGACCGTTATATATTTATTAATAAAAAATATAATTAATTAAGCAATTCATAAATAAATTTAAATAAAAACCTGATTTTTGAAATTTAAAACATCTAAACCTTAATTTTGAAATGTGTATAAGTAAAAGCAGGATTTATGTAGACTTCCCTTAAATTGATGTTCTTCAATCCTGGGCTTATAGCCTATGAAGTTAATGGGCACTGTTTTTCATCATTGCCTATAGGTTATTTGGACATCACTAAAATACCCAACAACGATATTTCATCTTATCCCTTGTGACTTCTAGCGCATCTTCAATGCTCGAACTCAAGCTGTTATATTATATGTACTTGTCCAATTAGTGTCAAAATTTAAATTATACGTATGATATAATGATTTGAGTATAGATTTTAGATATTTACAACAAGAATGATTGTGTGTTTTGATTTTTTACAAAAAATTAATTGTTTTACCTTCGTTCTAGAAGGTGGGGCTTAAGCGCGAGGGAAAAAACTTGAAAGATGTGAATAAAGGTGATTAACTTTAATTTGACGGACAGCCAAGGCACGTCCTTTTAAATTTTTTTTTTTATCCAACTTTTTCTAATCTATAATATATATTAAGAGCTTGTTTGGGAGAGATTTTTGGGGGAAAAATTGATTTTGAATAGTGATATGATGGGAAATTTGTGGTTGAAAAAGAAGAAAACATTATTGATGTGATGGAAAATATTATTTTATTGAAAAATGTGTGGTTGAAAATGAGAATTAATTTACTATAGAAAAATTTAATCCCTCCCAAAAAGGGCCTAAATATCATAAGTTAGAATTATTTTTTGAACGATTGCTGCCCTACCACAATTTAATTATTTCAATAATATCATATATTTCGTTTCTCAATATATATTTAATTTATAAACTATGATGAATACTCTAATTGATTCTCAATTAATTAAGGCCATATTTGGGATCCATTATTTCAATTTATAATGAAAAGAATAATATTTTGTTGGAGAATATGTGATTAAAAAAGAAAGAATATATTATTTTATTAAAAATGTGAGGTTGATAAAAGAAAAATGGAGGTCAAACATGGGCTAACATTCATGCTTATTTAGTTAATATTAATTTCACATTCACATTTATATTTACATTCACGTCCATGTTATTAATTCTAAATTAATTAATATTCACATTCATTTAATTAATATTAATTAGAATTTCTCATTCAAGAATACAGTTCATTATTCACATCCATGTATATTAATTAACATTCAATTTCACTTAATTTAAAATTAAATTATATTCATTTATAAATGGTTCAACATTCATACAAAGCATATATAAAAAACCATAAAATTTTAAATTAATTAACATTAACGTTAATTTATGTATCGTATTTTTCATTCATCTTCATTTATGCATTTAATTATAATTTTAGTACTCAAACTCAAGTATGCATTTAATTATTTACATGCATGTATAATAATTAACATTTATTTTCAGGAGTTAGCACTTCTCACATATTTAGATCAAAATGATAAATAGAGGGTCAAATATTATTTTCACAGCACTTATGAAGTATTTCAAAATAACGTGCAATTCACGTTCGACTCTAACTAATTCTTTTAAAGTTAACTAAATTAATTAAATAAAAAAAATAAAAAAATAATTGTTCTTAAATTAAGCTCATGTTTGGCAGAAATTACAATATAAATTATAATCTAAATCAATAATTAATTTTAATCACATATTTTATGAATTTCATAACTTTTCAACCATACATTTTATTAATTATTAGCAAAATTTATTAAAAAACTGATTTTAATCCCCCCAAACAGGGGAAGTAAAATGATGATTTTATTAAATAATTATTAGTGATCTTAAAATAAAGAAGAATTGTCCAATATTATTATTCTGTATAAGCTTTGCTTAA